AAACCAAAAAAAAAAAGAGGGGAAAAATTGTAGAAAAGGTTTTGGATTTTATTTTTTTAAAAAAAAAAAAAAAAAAAAAAAAAAAAAAAAAAAAAAACCTAATTATGCACATGGTATTGTGTTGAGAGAGGGAGGGGGGGAATTGGTCCCGAGAGAGACGGACCCCTCCGCATGCCTGAATAGGGCTCCAAAGTGGCCACACCATTACTGATTGTGTGGGTGGTGTGCATGCAATAAGCGGCTTGTTTACTGTGTAAATAATAATAATGACTCGATGTCAGATTACATTATTTTCGCTGCTGAATGCAAAACTGATGCAGAATCCGACCTGAAAACGGAGCAACCACACACCCGAAAAATGCTTCGCTTTTCTCATCCCAGGCATTCTTTGCAACAAGAAAACAAAAGAAAAGTGATGGTTTTTGTGTTTGTTTTGCTTTTTTCCCTCTTACCTCTAAATGCGGGTTGTATTCCTCTGGACCATGAAAAAAAAAAGCCAATCGGTTGAAAATACAAAAAAATTAAAAATAATAAAAAAATAAAAATAAAAACAAACAACAAGGGGAAGGGGGGTTGGTGAGAGGGGGGGCGTAAAGGATCTCGCACTTTTCTGCAGCGGAGCCAGAATAGAAACAGGTTCTACGTGTTGTTTCCTCAGCCACTGCGCGTTCCTCTCCGAGAGACCTGCAGCCGACAACTGCGCTCTCTGCTCCTCCGCCGGGCGAAACCACCGGGCTGAAGAGGGGAGGGGGAGGCGGGCAGAGGAGGCGAGAGGCGAGAGAACCGGGGAAGGAGAAGAAAAGGAGGGAGGAGGCTGTGTGTGTGAGAGAGAGAGAGAGAGAGAAAGAGAGAGATGGGGCCGATTTGCAGGCGAGGTGGGGAGGAAAGACGCGCGCAACCTGCGAGAGTTGGAGGTAGGTGTGTGTGCGTGCGTGCGTGCGTGCGTGTGTGTGTGTGTTGCTCGCTGCGGACTCCAGACCGGATCAGAATGAAGAGCGCCCGGGGCTTCTGGGAAACGATTTGGCCCCTGCATGTTGGTCGCTGGGGGTGTGGTGGTGGGGGGTCCGCTGGAGCCTGAACCTGCGGTGTCTGTGCTGGGTGGCGGTGGTAACCTAGCAGTTGAACTCCCTGGGTATCAGGGAACCTTTAACAACAAACACAAGTTTGGTCTCATCTGCGCAGATGCAAACTAGCCAAGGTGGATCTGTTTTAGTCGATTCTGTTCTATTCTATTCTGGACATTAAAAAAATAAATTAAAAAAAAGATGAACAATTTTGAATTTGTCCCAGAAGTTATAGTGATAAAAAAATAACCTCCCAATAATATTGTGATTTTGATACCATTTTCAAGTAATGATATGTCATAACAATGCAAAAACACATTCTCAAAGATCAATAATAAACTTTAATTCCAAATGAAGATTGAACACTGCAATTGGAAGACATTTTGAATATGCAAAACAACAGAAACAACAAATAAAATGAATTATTAAGTCTCTGTAAACAAAGCCATCCTTCAAAAAACAGCTTCAGCAAGAAGACTGAAGACTTTTTGTTGTACAGCTTTAAGAGAGAGAGAAAAGAGCAAAACGATAAATCGTGCAAACGGAAATGATTGACCTTGTGTTCATTTATTTATTTAATTGATTTATTTATTGCTTGACATTTTGTACTGTTTCTTACTTTATTTTGTTGGATTCCTTCCAAAAACCAAGCTTCTGAGACTAAGCCGTACATTTCCAACCACATAGAAGTCAGGGCACTGACTCTTAAGTTTAGCTGCTTAATGATGGCTGTTCGGTATCATTGTCCTGCTGATACGCTGACGCTACTAATCATTATGCACTGTTCTTATAGGTCTGAAAGCAGATTATGCGGACTGGTATTAAAGAAAAGCTACCAAACAGACAGAAAGACTACAATCTTGTCTACAATATTAAGTCAAATTATGTTGGGAAATATAGCCATTGACACATAGATAGATAAATAAACATCCATCCAGCCATCAAATTATGGTGTGTGGTAGGTGCCTATCAGCAGTGGTCACTGGACGAGTGGAAGGGTACACAGATATTGATATTCATTATATAAATTATGTCTACATCTATTGTAATTTTAATATTAAATTTTTGGTAACACTTTATTTGAAGGGGGTTGAATAAGACTGACATAAACATGACATAACACCTGTCATGAACATGAATAAGCCTTCATGAATATTTATGACTGTTGTCATAAAGTGTCATTTAGTAAATTATGACACTTTTAATACAAAGTTGACATTATTCAAAATGTCTGTTATGACAACTTGACATTAACCAAGAAATCATTACTGATATAAATTTGTTATAAAAGTATTACTGATTGCACTTTAAAAATTAGGTAACTTTATGTTATTAAAGGTAAAGTTTAGTTCTGAGTGCTGTTTATTGTCCTTGTTGTGATTTTTATTTTTTTCCTCTCTTATTTCTTGTTGTGGTTTGCCCTGTATAAAAATCTCATCAAAAATAAAGTATTAAAAGAAAAGGCAGGGATGCAACCACATACTGGAACTTCTGCAGTTCCAGTAGAACTGCAGAAGTTGTCCGACACTCAATGGGCCTGCAGAGAAAATGTCCTAAAGT